TCTCTTAATAAGTCTACTTCACGAACTCCCTCTCGATGTAGTTGCTTCAACAGAGTATTGTACGATACTCCTCTTCTTCTCCTTTCAGATTCCAGATCGATTTCCTCTTCGATGTTTGTCATACCATCACCTTCCTCACTATTGTAGGCCTCTCTAGAAGTTTGGCCTTCTTTATATTCCAGCACGCATGCTTCCTCTTCGTTATCCTCCTTTTCTTCTTCTCCTTTTTCTTTATTCTTGAACTCATTGGCTAGTAAATAGTTATTAGCCACGACAGGAGGTAACGTACCAAATTGAATAGTAAAGGGCTGATCTAGATCTTCTCCATCCCTTCCGTCACGCTCAAACTTCAACCTCCCAGAAGAAGTCTCTGGCAATTCTTCCATAGGTTTGCATGTACCAGTCTCTTCACTGTCTTTGAGAACATTCTGATTGGCTGCCTTGAGTAGTCTAGGTGCCTTAGGATGCAACATTTCCTGTTGTTGCCTCATCATTCGCTCGTAGTTTCGTTGAAAACGCCTTTGTTGGGTTCTAGTCATCTTGTTGAAAGGTATCGCCCTTCCAGCCTCATACTGGAACGAATGCCATATATTTGGTTTGCGAGGTTGCGGTCTGAATATTCTCCCATTATTTATTGGCATGAACTGCCTCTCAAAAGTCGGTCCCTTACAGAACGATGTACCTCACCCTCTACCAGGCTGAGCGTTTGGGAAAAAACTAGGGCGATGGTGATGTTGCCATATCCCTGGTTTCTATGCATTTGCACTCACTTCTTTTTTGCATCTTGCACATAGGACGTCTTCGTCCTTTTTGGGCTCCTTCCCTTTGATACGTTCAAAGACGCTGGGATGTGGTTCAGGGTCTTCTATTCCATCATCTATAACCAATTTGAATTTTGGCCATTTGTTTTTGAAACCAGACGTCACCATGTTCACTCCAAGTGGCTGTGGAAATGGATTTTCATCCACTGCCATCTTCCTCTTATCCTCAAACGTAATTCGTCCTGATTCACTGGTATCCTGTAACACATGGCGAAAAACCAAACAGTTGTTAGTCAAATGTGACCATGCATTATGCCATTTACAATATTTTTTACCCTTAACTTGTTCAGGGTTTGGCAATTTATGCTTATCGCTCAACTTTATCTACTTATCCTTATATAATTTATCAAATATAATGTCAGCTTTGGTTACATCGAACGAGAACGTTCTAGCATTTATGTTTTCATCTTTTATAGGCTCATCCTTGCCCGACGGTCTAGGCTTAGCCATTATAGGACAAGTATATGTGTCTCCTTTAACTAACTCGGCCAAACACATTTCGATTTGATCGTAATACTTGTCATTAATGGTATGAACATCAAAATTTGGATCTCTATAATAAGTCCCCTTACTATAATTTTTCATTTGTTATTCTTCTCTTATTAATCGTTCATACCTAATCACGTTCGCGCTCAATTGGAAAAGATCAGGAAATTCCTTGTCTTGGAATTTCTTTTTCAAATCAAAGCTCAAACAGCCTTGAGCAATTTTGACAAACTTTTTTTTTGGTAAAGGTACAAAATATTTACATTTTGCTGTCTTGAACCTTTGGAGGAAACCTTCTGCCCATTCGTTTGACATTTGATGTAGATTCACCAAATCGGCCAACGTAACTTCAGACTCAGTCTTATAAAACTGAGCATGGAATAAATGTTTTAATTGTTGCCTTGTTTGAACAGAGTTCGCTGGCAAATTAATGAACCAGGAGAAGGCTACTCTTGTTAATGAACTAGGGAACAACCTCATTTTATGGTAATCAGTTACGTCACCACCTTGCAGTGTGAATCGCCCTATGTGTTCTAGAGTAGACACCTCTTCTAAACCGGTAAACAGTGAGAATTTTGACACTTTATACCCTCTAGGCCATGGATATGCTTGATCTACCCAATCAGGATATGGCTTTGTGTAAGTCGGCCTAATGACATGACGTACTCCAAAAGCCATTTGGTCCTGTACGATTTCCATAATCTGATTCCTCAACATGACGTTGGGGTCATATAGAATTTCTACAGGTTGGTTGACCGGTTGATTTACTTGAGGCCTGATGTTTGGTCCTTGGTTGGCAACAAAGTTGCCATGATTTGGGCCATTGTTACCATTAGCCTGAACATTTATTCCATCATTAACACGTGGGGTATTCTGCCAATTATTTAGGACATTATCTCTTACATTTAGATTACCCTCCAAGTTAGATGTACCAATGCCACTATTCTGATTTGGTACTACACCACCCCCTGATTTGAAGTAGAGGGGTCAAAAGGTGGTTCTACCCCTTGATTTAAACTTAGGACTGGGGGATTATGCCCCTACAATTGTCCTAGTTTGAAAGTGGTTTGCAAGAGGCACAACTGGCTGACAAATTTGGCCTACTAACTTATTCATTATTTCGTTCAAAGTATTCAATTGTTTGGCCATGTTGTCATAATGTGCATTCCCATTCGGGGTAAATCTTTCCATATTATGAATATTTCATAGATTTACCTGTTCAACGACATCTTGTGTGAGTTCTCCGAGTAATGCACGCATGGTTCGAGGACTCAACTCTGTCATTGGTTCGTAACGACTATGATTGCTCTGATTCTGTCCATCTGTTCGTGGAGAGCTATGCTGCTCCTCATATCGCTCGATCACGGACTGGACTTCTCCCTGACTTGCTGCTTCCTTATCGAATTTCTGAGGCATATTGTTTCACCTTTTATATCTTCAACACCAAATACCAATGTCCTACTGGGCGTGCCAAATTGTTTCGCGTGGGTGGTCGCTAACAATTAAAAATGGACCAGACGATTGTGTAAGGAACAAAACCTCTTAAGACAAAGTCCCAAAAAGGGGTGTTTTATTGGCGATGACTTTACAATTGGAACTAAACAGAATGCCTCCAAAGGGCGCAAGCACACGAGTACTGAAAAGAAATGTTTAATTCTAAACTAAGAAATTGAAATTACATATTCTCTGTTTTGAGAGTGTTTGATTCGGGGTCTTTTGCTCTATGTCTTTTCTTCCTTTTATATTCCATTGATGATCTCTTCGTGATCAACCGCTTAGAAACTGCTTAATTGCTTTATAACTGCCCACTTTCTTCATGGTGGCCAACTTATCATGGAACTGCCGTTTCTAACTGCTGTCATTACTTTTTGTCGTTCAATCGTCTTCAACTGAACATCCTTGAATCGTGGAACGTGATAAGATTACTTAATAATTACTTCGATAACTGCACTTTTGGATAACCATAATATCTTATGTTTGCTAAGATCCTGGGCGATTCGAAGGTTTGGGCGAGAACATGGTCATAACCTGGGCGACTGCAAGGCACTTCATTCGCTCAGATCTTGGGCGTCTTGCAAGTTTGGGCGATGGTGTTACCGCATTCGTGGGCTTCCACTGCATTCATTAATAACCCTATTTGAACCTTTATCCTGAATTGCCCAATTGGGCTTCATTTTTTGAGCTATTCGATTTGGGCTGCACTTTTAGCGTGTCAACAACATTTAATGGAATTCACAACTTTTCAATTACACATTTCATCAATTTTTATCAAAATCTACTAAAAATTTAACTTTCATTTAAACCAAATAGAGGCTATGTATCTCTTCCTCTATCATTTTGATTCTATTGACCATGCCCTAATGTTTGATCGTAACCGCAAAATCCTACGGTCAATAATCAAATTAAACTTTGGATACAATATTAGAGACGCTCCTGGGCTTGTAATATCATAGACGCTCTCTCATATTCAAAAAATAATACTATCCTCCCCTATTTCTAGTTTTGAGTATAGCATATTGACTATTTTTTTAGGTATATTATTTAAAATGATGTTGATATACTTAAAATGTGCTTGTGAAGAAAAGTATGTTTTTTTTTACAATTAATTGCAATTTAATTTGTTCCATTTAATAATAAATTAATACTTTTTACATACATAATTCATAATATACAATTTAAACCTAAATTTTGTCGAAGAATTTGGTAATTAATTAATTATTTTAAATCTTTTAATGAATTATATGTACTATAAATATTAACAAATGCAAACTTACAGATAGAAATTCTTATTTATAAATTTATAAACTAAACCTTTGTTTGATTCTCATTATTTTCAAAATATATTTTTCTCTCTTTTTTTTTATTTCAACCACACATTTTTTAATAAAATAATATTACACGAAAACTCAAAACCTTTCTTTATTTTTTTAACCGCACATTCTATATCAATCTACCATTCCAAAATACATTCTTACCAGAAAAATGGGGCACACTAAAACAAAATTTATATATAAACATGTATTTTTTGCAATTCAAGCAATATCTAGCAAAAAAATAGCATATGTTAGTTACACACCTTCAAAATTAGTTATTAAATGATGACTATATTAGTGGTTGTTTCGTTGCATTATAAGTTTTTGAAATTACAATCTAATAAAAATTAGTGGTGAATGAATGGATAATAGTCGTGGATCCTATAAAATGTGTAAAAAAATTCATATTTTTCTTCGCATGGATAATTTAATTAACCTCATTTTAGATTATATATAGTTCAAACATTGGTCACGTGATACTCAAAACTAGAAGTACGAGATGTTAGTATGATCTTTTAAACATAAATGGTGTCTTAATATTGTCATAAAACTTAAGGGGTGTCTATGATGTTTTCTCTAAACTTTGATTTACTTTCATTAGGCCATAAAATTGAATTATAGCAAATTTATATGAAAATCAATGGAAATTTATTTATTTTCAAAAAAGCAACAACTCATATCTTGATCTAGTATTGAAACTGAGTATCGACTATTACCTGTTACTGCTGGCAAATTTACAATGCTAAGATACTTTCATGATCATGATAATGAGGTTTCAAAAAATACTTTCATTTTAAGCTAGCAGTTCTTAACTTGAGGAAAACCAATAAAAATTACACCAGTGTCCTTGAGATCAAAGAATTACCAGCCTTAATTCATACAATGGAGCAAACCCGAAAAATTACTGTATTAAATGAAATTGATGTATCCCTCCTGAAGTAATGATTCAGATTAGAGCAAAAGAAAATGAAACAAATGTGGACAACAATGAAAAAAGAAAGAAAGAAAGAGATCTTTCACCCTAAACCTGTCAAATTCTTTAGTTTGTTGGAACCTTTTCAGTCATTAGGGTCGAAGATTTACTCGAAAGATATTGATATCATGGGCTACATCCAGCATTGTTGGTCTAATTGAAGGATTGTACTGTGTGCAGATTAATCCGAGTTCAATCAATTCCACTATTACATCCCTCCATATATTGCTCTGATAAGGAGGAATGGGGGTTTGTGCTGGTGAATACTTCACTAATGCTTCTTCAACAATAGGCTCGAGTTTGCTTGGATAATGATTTTTAACCCATTCGTGCAGGCTTGAACCTTGTTGAAAAAGTACGTCTGTCGGCCTTTTCCCTGTCACAATCTCTAGCAGAAGAACTCCAAAACTGTAAACATCTCCTTGTGGTGAAACCCTTTTTCCCATTCCATATTCTGCAGAACAAAGTAATTAGATAATAGTCTTGGAATGAAGCGTATTATCGAAAAGAAAAGGATAATTTACTTGGTATATATGGAGTTAGTAATTCCTATTTCTTTATTTGACTAGTTTAAATGATCAACCACGACAAAATCCTAAGTCTTATTCTTGATATAAATATGGCAAAAGGTACCACCTTTTTCCCACAATTCGATTTCAATAATATATATAGTGTGTTGGTATCAGTATTTATGCTTTAATATTTTAGAGTTAAATTTAGTCAATGAATCTTGGTTTTCTACCCACACCTGAATGGATTCTAATGCGCATCTCTTTGACAACTTAAACTTTTAGATAAGGCAATTCAACGTACCGGGAGCAATATAACCAACTGAGCCGCAAAGCAAACCGTCGGTAGAGTCAAAGGAAGCTGAATCATAGACAGAAACATTCTCATCAGCACCCTTCAACAATCTTGCAATACCAAAATCAGTGACAAAAGCTGTCATAGCATCATCCAAGAGAATATTGCTAGGCTTAAGATCACAATGCACTACTTTGACAGGAGAATGATGATGAAGATATGCCATTCCTTCGGCTATATCACTGCAGATATTCACCAACTGAACCAAATCCAATCCATGGCTTGGATGCAGATGATTTTCAAGGCTTCCATTTGGCATTAATGGAAGAACAAGAGCCTTAAAATCTGCCTACTACATGTCGTTATGATTCTGATCAAATTTCTGTGCCTAGTCGTTTTAAGGACTTGACATTCCCTCTTAAAGCTCCCCGAAATTTCTCTAGCTGTCGAATATAGTACTTTCACAGCTATTCTTGTGCCATCTTTCAAAACTCCTTTATAAACTCGCCCAAATGTACCTGAGCCAATCAGGCTCGAAGCACTGAATCCTCCGGTAGCTTCGACTAGCTCCCGGTGATAAATTCTTGGGTATTTTATCTCCTTTATACCTTCTTCTTCATCTTGGATGGCCTTAGCATTAGACACTACCAGTTGCTTTCGGAATTTTCGCCTGAGTAGTAGAGGATATCCCACAATGCAGAAAATGGGAGTAATGACTAATGATAGGAGAATTGCCATCAACAATTTATGTCTCTTTGTTTCCGGGCATTTTTTCATACCTTGTATTGAACCACAAATCCCATTGTTTCCCAGGAAAGACTCGATGCTTAACGACAAAAATGATCCCTTGTTCGTTATGTTTCCAGAAAATCTGTTGTAAGAAAAGTTAAGCTCCTTTAGAGTTGATGATGCCTGCAGTGATTGCGGGATCTCTCCAATTAATTTATTGGAGGAGACATCAAGTTCTTTCAGATAAGGCAAGTTGCCGATTGATGCTGGAAATGCTCATTCGAAGTAATTATTCGATAAATTGAGGGACTTGAGAGCAATGCAGCTTCCAAATTGTGAAGGGATTGTACTGGACAGGTTGTTTGATGATAAATCAATAGCTAAAACCATGTCCATTTTACTAAGCTCAAGAGGAATAGGCCCTTTTAGGTGATTTCTGGACAAGTTTAAGTACAATTTTAAACTACTCAAACCGGCAACTTCACCAGGAATTGTCCCTGAAATCCTGTTGGCAGAAACATCCAGAATTTCCAAGTTAACACACTGTCCTAAACTTGTTGGAATGGTTCCCGAGAGCTGGTTTTCGTGAAGCAAAAGTCGTCTTAGCTGAGGAAGTTTAGCAAAGCTGTCCGGGATGATACCGGAGAGCTCATTTTTTGACAAATCGAGAAGGCCTATATGGGGAATGTTTCCAAACGCAGACGGAATGTGACCAGAGAGTGAATTATTTGACAAATATAGTCTCTCAAGTTTCCCCAGTTCGCATAGTTCAGATGGTATTGAACCACTGAGAAAATTTCTAGACAAGTTCAAGAGAGTGAGGTTATAAAGATTCGAAATCTCTCGAGGTATTGAACCATGAATAAGGTTCTGGTCGAGATTAATCAGTATAAAACTGGTAGAAAGGGAACCAAGAATAGATGGTAACTCTCCACCAAGATTATTTCCAGCTAAATCAAGTTCTTACAAGTTCGTGGAATTAACTAAAGAAACAAAGACGGGTTTGAGGTCAGTGTTACCATTATGGCTAGAGAAATTGTTATAGGACAAATAAAGAAATTGCAAATGTCGCATTTCACTTACTATATGAGAAGGCAACTCTCCACGTAGAAAATTGGATTCCAAATCAATCCATTCTAGTTTTGAGGAATTTGAAAGGGCTTGAGGAAATGCTCCTACAAGTTGGTTTGACCAAAGAAGAAGAAACTTTAAATCTCCAGGACCACATTGATTATTCTTCAAAGGGATTTCACCACTAAGTGAATTGTTGGAAAGGTCTATATACTCTAGAGGAGAAGAGCCATTGCACAAAATCGACGTAGGAATTTCTCCGGTGAGTCGGTTGCTTCCTAAATTAAGATATACTAATTGATGAAGAGATCCCAACTCACTTGGAACCGTCCCTTCAAGATTATTCGAAGATAAACTTAGCTGCTTGAGCCGGATAAAGGATCCAATCTCAGTCGGAATCAGGCCTTCGAAGAAGTTCCAGGACAAGTCGAGAATTTCTACGGAAGAAAAAGACGAAAGAGCTGGTGAAATGGTGCCATGCAGAGACCTTTGGCTTAGATCAAGCTCTAAAACTTCATTTCTATTCTTGTCACATTTTACACCAAACCAGTTGCACACATGAATATCAGAAGAATTCCAACTCTCCAAAGCATGTTTAGGGTCAGAAATTATGCTAGACATGAACAGTACAAGGGATGCTTTATCATTCAAAATCTGAGCATTATTTTCAGCTTGTACTACATGGAAAACAGTAAGCAAGAGCACATTCTTGCAACAAATTTGAAGCAGAGAGATTTAGAGAGAGATTGCATGGCACAAGTGCAATACAACTTGTAATAAAGGAATGTAGCTGGAGATTACTGCTAAGAAATAAACCCTTTGTGCCTAACTCCCATTGAAGTAAGGTTCTTTATGATTGGCCTAATCTTTGACAATACATGAACACGTGTGAACTAGCATTAGACGACACATATTTAAGCATAGTTAGTTTGAATTACCGTGTGACATTTGCAGCATGTTTAGTACAATGAATTAGAAATACTATAAAACATTTAATCATGTTCAATACTATGTATCAAACTTGACTTTCATAATTTAGGTGTCCTTGCACCTAATCATTTGCTTTTTGTTTCCTTGTGGGATTTAATTTGTGTAATTAGTGGATGATGAGTTGTTAAACTCAAGATAATCTAGGTTATGAGCACGCTTTGTGATTGAGGATACGATGATGTGGCGACTCTTTAGGTTGGTATATATTTTTGGATAAATTTATTTTATTAATTCATATAAATAATGATTGAGGATGACATTTTATAGTCTTATAAATTTACACGACATTTTATACTTTACAATTTATTTTTGAAGTATAAAACCATGACCTCCAATACAATCTTTGTTATTATAGTTTCCAACTGTTTTCTTTGAGGTGATTCTTTGGGGTGATTTTATATGTGATGTGAATAGCCAAAGCACAACTAGCCTTATGTTTATATTGTTCAATAAGAATATTTTTGGTGGCCTAAAAAGTAGAAAATAATAGAATGGATCTAGGAAGGTGTGGTACTGTTAATAATTATAGTATCGAGTTAGTGCTAACAAACCAAGAAATGCAAATAAATGTAACCTAATGAGAAATTGGAATAGTGGGCGCCTCCCTGTGTTGCTATTAATGTATTCGGCCCAAGTTGAAGTTTAATAATTAATGCAGAATTTTAATATATAGTCAGTGCATTTTGTGATCTTTTAGCTTTAGAGATTCGTCCAAGTTTTGAAGTTGAAGATTCTCGTGTAGTTAAACCTAAAAGTTAGAATTGAATTGATCTTCTTCATTGGAGAAATTTTTGGGTTTTGATGCCAAATAAATTTCGGATAATGTTGTAAAACGTTGGATTATATTTTTATAGGGGGAGGTCAATGGTAAATTGATTATCAACAACTAAGTCTAAATGCTCGATCCGAAAAACATGGACCATTGAAACTAGTTTAAGAAATTAATATTGCCCAAGTCCATATATTTACCCTCATTTAACCCATCTCTTCATCAGTTAAGTCAAATCACTAAGATTCAGAAATTAGGATCGATTTCTAAGGCAGTAAAATAAACTTTGCAGAAAAATAAAGATCGAACACGAATATATGTTTTGCCCTAAAGGGCCTAGATGTTCAGTCTTTCAACCTAATCACCCGTTGAGTATTAACAAAAGGTGACATAGCTCAAGATCCACTAAGTATCAACCAAGAACAGTACAGAATGTACGAAGAAACCAAAGGTTTCTTCGAATTTCCTTTCGCCTCTATACACAAAACAATCAACACACCTCTCAATCATTAATAGACTGTACAATAACAATCATAATCCATCACTAAGAATATAGATTGAGAAAACACCAAGAATATTTTGGATTTACAGTAAGATCAGAAACCCTAATCTTTCACTCAGAGAGAAAATGAGAAAACAGACGAAATGGCACAAAGTCTCGAAGTCCAGAATGAGGGCCAAAACCAAGTATCTGAATAGCTAAACGCACAAACGAAGGGCCAAGATACAGCCACGTAGACAACTGATCTCCACTTACTAAAGAGGCATTCAAGTTTCTTCTCACAAAACACGCTTTTAGAACCCGAAATTAATAATGGTGGCCTGCTTAAATCCATTTGGGCCAGAAAGAAATAGTGAGGCAACCCACAAATAATAACAATCTCCACCTTGCTGAATTATTTCTTGATCTTTACTAGTAAATCTAGAAGTCTATATCACTTCTTGGTTTATTTGTTCTAAATACTTGCAGAAAAGAAAAATATATATTAGTTCAAATCTCTTCAACACAAACCACTTGAAGTTCTGACTATTACTACCTCAAGTAATATTCAGAATCTCCAAACAATTTATAAATTTATTTAAAGGTAATACCTTAGTTCCTAAATCTACAGGATTAAATTCTGTAGGAATCTTCACCAGATTAATCATCCCTTTTTCTGCCATATTTCTCACAAAGTGAAACTTTATATCTACATCTTTAGTTCTGTCATGGTAGACAGGATTTTTACTCAAGTGTATGGTACTCAGGTTATCAGTATAAATCCTAACAAAATTATTCTCAAAACCTATTTCATTTAGTAAACCTCTAAGCCAGAAACTTTCTTTCATAGCATCACATGTAGCAATGTATTCAACTTCAGTAAAGGATAATGCAACTAATTTTTGTAATTGAGACTTCCAACTAATGCAACAATCACACAAAGTGAAAAAATATGAAGATGTAGACCTTCTTTTGTCTAAATCACCAGCAAAGTTAGAGTCAGTGTAACACTTTAAATTTATCCCTTCATTGTTTCTTTTAAACATCAGAACTAATCCTGAAGTACCTTTTAAATACCTTAGCATCCATTTCATGGCTAACCAATGTGTTTCACCAGGGTTGGACATAAACCTACTTAAGGTACTAATGGCACAAGTTAAGTCAGGTTTGGTACACACCATAAGGTATATTATAGATTTTACAGCATTTGCATAAGGTATCTTTTCCATTCTTATAAATTCCTCACCTGTCTTAAGGTGAGTTTTCACTAGACAATTTGTAATATTCCGAAATTTTATAGAATGGAATTTGATTTATGTATGCTAAGTTTTAATACTTTAAAAGTTTAGGACTAAAATATATACAAAGTAAAATTAAATTTTATTTGGGTTAAAATGTAGATGTTGACAGAGCAATAATAAGCATATGAATGTTGGGCTCCTTGGATAGGTCGTGATTAAAGATGTATATTAGGCTCGAGAAAAAGTTGATTTGGATTAACGGAGCTTAAATTATTGACGTCGAAAGATTTAGCCTTAAAATATTATTATGATTATTCTTATTATTATTTGAGTTTGTAGTGTATTTGAAAGATTCACGTGCAAGATTCTTGGTTAGTGAGTGATTGATTTTTTTTTGTTAAATATAGCTATTAAAAAAAAGGGAAAAAAAAGGAAAAAAAAAGAGAAGATGAGACTTAGCCACGTGAGAGAAAGAGAGAGATATGGGAAGATGTGAGTAGTGGTTGGAACTGATTATTTTCATTTTTTTAATTAGTACTTTGAACTAATGGGAGGTCACCACGTGTGCTGATTTTAAGTGAAAGGACTTAGTCAGATATCTTGCTTTGAAATTTCGTTTCTCTATCTTTATCCACAATCACATCCCACTTCTACACATTTCTCCCACAATACACAAAATCTTTGGAAATTAGGGTATAACTACCTATAGTCTATGTATATAGACGCAATACATGAAAAAAGGGACACGCAAAAAATAAAAACAGTTGTGCACGGCTCATAGTACAGAAGAGACAGAAAAAGAAGGGAGAAAGGAACGTGATTTTCATTTTTCTTTTCAGATTAAAGTAGTTTAACAAGGTAGGATATGAGGTGCAGTATTTTTCTATGTCCCGTTTAATTTTTTTTCACATGTTGACGAATTTTATACTCATGAAAGTTAAAGTTATGATATGAATGATATGGCCATTCCAGTACAATGAAATGAAATGAAATGTTATGATGTGAGCTCTTACCGGATTTTAAAGTTATGCGACGGTATGATTTTCTGACACATGTTTTAAAATTATTATTCGGGATCGCACCATTAATTTTCATATCCTACCGAGTATTCCCATGTACTCACCTTTTTCCCTACACCTCACAGGTTAGATCGGGTCGTGACGGAGCGTGGTGGTTCGATGGCGTGGTTGAGTTTCGATTCGCTGGATAAAGAACTAAATTAGCACGTAATTTTTATTTATTTTAAGTTATTGCAGTGGACATTTAGTTATAAATAAATTTTCGTACATGCTTAATTGCAGATGAATATATATAGCCTGCATTTTAAATAAAGTTCGAACTGGATGTTATATTTTTCTACCGATTTCACTGATGAAAAATAATTGAATGTGTCCGATTGTGGTGGAAAATTGGTCATATAATCGTATCGATATATTTATTTATTCTACCAAAATTTTCTGCCACCGGATCTGACAATCTGCCTTTGTTTTCAGTAGTTGATTTACCAAAATTTAGCTTTCCCATGAATGTTAGAATTAAATATTATTTCATTCACCAATTTCACTATATATATATATATGGAACATGTCTTTACTGTGATATTGTCAGAGTAAATAAAATTGACCGTTGGTCATTCCATGGTCATGCTATATAATAATGTCCCATGGATTTCTTCAATAAAGTAAGGGAGACTTTGGTAGCATTCTTGTGTCCTTTGGGGACGTGTCCCATACTTGGAGGAAAGAGAAAAGTATAGTATGATTGATGTTAGAGTTGTCTTGTCCTATATATGGTATTCATTACTGCATGTGCATGCTTTTATATGTAAAAGTCAATTGGCAAATTATTTCATACGTTTAAAGAATGGCGCAGAAAAATATTCTTTCTTTCCTATGATTAATTAAGATATATTTCTTTTTCTACAAATTTGAGTAAATTACCCTTTTCGAAATTATATATATATTATGGCATGTCACGTTATTCGATAAAAAACAAAATTTGAAATGAAAATTTGGTAACTATTCAAAACCTTTTAAAAATTTTGGGTCATTACACAATTTAAAATGATTTGCAATGGGCAAGTTCACAAGTTTACACTCAAGCATAGAAACTTTTCAAGTATTTTCTTTACATAAGAGTCTTGTTTCAACATTAACATGCAATTATTCCTATCTCTTTCTATTTCCATTCCAAGGATCATTTTTGCTTGTTCTAAATCTTTCATTTCAAATTCAGATTTCAACTTTGACTTAATGAAATTAATTTCAGATCTATCATGACAGGCAAGCAACATGTCATCAATGTAT